GTGAAGCACACCCACAACTCTCTACTACTGGAAAAAATAACCACAAAATCCCAAAGTAAAGCGCTTTAAAATAGAGTTAGTTGTGTTTTTTGTTTTGTTTTGTTTCCTGAAAAGAGAGGTTGAATTTGTATGTTCTTTCTACCCCCCGCCTTGCTCCCACAGCTACAGAAAGAAAGTATAAAAACGAAAAATACGTAAATCTTTTATGATAAATTAGAGAAAGGTGATTTGTAGCAGCCCAGGGCCGAGGGAGTGTCACCTTTCTCTGGAGGCAGTCCAGAGCAGAGGGAGTTGAACACCTCCTTCATTACCAGCACCTTCATAACTATTTATGGAAATGGAGGAATTAGAACTGGGGGATGGGTTGGGAATAGAAAAAAAGTCTGTGTTCTAACGGGCTAGCAAAAACATGAAGTACCTGTAATACCAGCTGCAGCTTCTACATCCATCTGAAGTGACTTATAGTCAAAGGGGAGTGCTCATAATCGTTTCCATGAAAAATTACCTTTACTAGGAATGGCATTGATGGCTGGTGATGGGCAAAGGTGTGGAGAGATGGCCTTGCATGGCAGGTGCTCTGAATGCCAGGGCTGCTGGCCCCTCACCTTTTGACAGTGCCTAAGTAGGGGGAACATGGCAGCCTCCCCTTTAGCACTGCTAGAAGGGAGTATTCCTAGGTTTGTCATCATCTTAGCAGCTTGGGACAGAGTTCTGTGTCTTAGCATCTATTCATCTGTTCACTGACTCAGATGACCCTCGTCTCCTTCCCCTCCCTACCTTGATACTTCTATAGTCTTTCCATTCCTGAACTGGAAACAACAACCTGCAAGGAGTCTCTCCTGCATGCTAGGACTGTCTCCTACAGTCTGGCCAGCTCTCTTTTGGAGGAAAAATGATGAGTACCTAAAGGGCCTGAAGGGTCTTGGATAAGGACCATGATGTGGTTGGACCTTCCAGTTGTGCGGTGTTCTTCAGAACAGAGCATTTTGCCTTTGTCCTGGAATCCTAGAATGTTGGGGCTGGGAGAGGTAGAACTTGTTGAGCCCAGGCCTCACTTGACACTGTGGGGCACTGAAGCTCAGAGCAGGGACCTGAGTGGTCCAAGTCACACGGCACATTCTGCTCTGCAGAAAAGGTGACTGTGAAACAACTGGAAATGTTTAGCTACATCAAGGATGTAGCTTTGACCTAGGGTAGAGAATTAGAACTTGGTTTATAGGAATGAGGGCAGAGCCAGATGACAGGATTGAAACATGAGGTGAGAGTGGTAACAGCAGCCAAGTTGACTCCAGGACATGCCGCCTTAGGATCCTAAATGAATCCTAATACCAAGAGTCAGGTATCCCAACTTGGAGAAAGGAACGGCAGGTTCTGGAACAGCAGGGCTTCACTACCCTGACCTCTCATGCCAGCACTGTTGTGTTTTCTTTTCCATTTCTAGACGTCAAAAAAGCCTAAGACAGCAGAAGCAGACACCTCCAGTGAGCTGGCTAAGAAAAGCAAAGAAGTATTCAGAAAAGAGGTAAGGTTTGGTGGATGTGGGCACTAAGCTCTACAGGCTTAAACCTGAGCTCTTTTCTTTCTTGTCATAAGTATGCGCAACTGTTTGTAGTGTTAGCTTGCCCTGCCTTTGGGTGTTCCCTTGCTTCTGTGATTTGACTATATAGTTGTTATGTGATGACACACTGGTATGGTCCTTTACTATTGGCTAATAAGCACTTTCATATCCATTATCTCATTTCATCCCCACAACAGCCCATGAGGTAGGCAAGACAGAAATTGTCATTCTTATGTAGGTGGAAGAACTCTTCAGGTTCAGAGAGGGCAAGTTCTAGACAGAAGACTTGAACTCTGGCCTTCTGGCTCAAAGTCCAGTTCTCGTTTAGTGGCTGCCTAATCCTCACAGGATTGGAAGAAAGCAACTCCTCTTTATGCTACTAGAAGTGTATGTTTCCAGCTGTCAGGACACTAACCTTGTCTGCCTCAGGGCATCCAGATTCTAAACTGCAGTCTTCATTCACTGAGGGGGCTCATAGTCTGTTGGAGGAAATAGATCTGTAAATAAGTAATGGCAGCTGTATGAAGAGTATGCCATGATAGGGCTGGGGGCCACTATTCAGGATGTCAGGAAGGGCTCTTGAATCATGGGTGGGAATTGACCAGACAGATCAGGAGAGACATAACTGCAGGCAGTAGAATGTACAGAGGCAAAAGAAAGCATCGTCCCTTCCAGAAAATTGTAAGTAGTCTGTAGGCTGTAGCTCAGGGTATGTGAGGGCTGTTGAAAGATGAGGCTGAACAGTATTGTGCTTCTTCATATAGGGCCAGTGTGTCTGTGAGGTCCAGGGAACTGCTGCAGGATTTTAAGCTGGGAATAATGAAATCCCTGGCTGTATTTGGGGAAATGGATTGAAGGGAGAGTATGGAGGCCAGGAGACCACAGAAAAACTTTGAGTAAAAGCCTTATCTAGGTTTAAAAGTTAGTGTCTTACAGGGCCAGCCTGGTGGCACATATTCTGCTTTGGTGGCCTGGGCTTCACCAGTTTGGATCCCAGGTGTGGACCTGTTTACTGCTTATCAAGCCATGCTGTGGCAGGCATCCCACATATAAAGTAGAGAAAGATGGGCACGGATGTTAGCTCAGGACTAATCTTCCTCAACAACAACAAAAAACAGCTTAGTGTCTCACTATCCCTGTGTGAAATTATTGGTGTTTCAGATCAGCCAACCAGAAGCTGTTTATTTAGTGCTTACCTTGTGATACAGCCTTGTTCTTTTGAACATCTGAAGGCTGAGTTTCAGGGATGGGTAGATCCTGTTCAGGGTACTTCCTGACAAAATGGCTAACATTGACTTTCTCTCTCCCTTTGTCCCCTGGGATCTTAGTGCCACAAATACTTCCAGAGGTTCTGTGCCTGGGTCTCTTTTTGAGAGCCACTGGGTTAGGACAGACACTACAGAGACAGCTCAGGAGGACATTGCAAGTTATGTATTAAATCCCACCTTGGATCTTCTCCCACCGGCTGTCATACCACGCTTCCATCTGCTTCTCATTGCTGTTGTAGGAATCAGGTGAAGTGTAACACAGAATCTAAGTAACCTTCCATAACAAAATGCCTGCATTTCCTGGGGTTGCTGAGCCTCCTAGTAGCACTGGAACATCCTCTGTGCCCTGCCTCCGAGAGCCAGAGAACTTAGCTATGTTTCTTTATGTCAAGGACCTGAGATTTGTAAGCTGAAACCTGGGGCTGCCCTGAGATTCAGCAGTGGAGTCCTGCTGCTGGGTCCCTGAATCTCCTGCTCTAAGTCAGGCTTGCTCAGTCCATCCATGGAGCTCTTTCCCTCTGAGGGCTGACCCAGGATCCTTTTCTCTTATATCCCACTGTCATACTAGCATTCTTCTGTCCAAACCAGCCAGCCTGAGTGAGGAAAAGGGAAAGACTGGCTGGCTCTACTTGCTGCTTTTTCTGATTATTTCGTCAGTACAATGTCTTGCCCTCTCTGGTCCTATTGAGCAGTGTGTTCTCTTTCCCCTCCCTGCAGATGTCCCAGTTCATCGTCCAGTGCCTGAACCCTTACCGGAAACCTGACTGCAAAGTGGGAAGAATTACCACAACTGAAGACTTCAAACACCTAGCTCGCAAGGTATTCCCCACTGCTTGTGGTCTGATAATGTTCTGGGCAAACTGTGTATACCTTCTAAAAAGGCCCCTTTCATCATAGAAAGTGGGTTTTCCTTGCTAGATGCCTGGGCTAGGGACCCAGGAACAGGGAAGGAAGGTTTGGGAAGGGAGCGCACCCTACTTGAAGGTTCTCTAAGAAACTTCCAAAGCCGAGCTTCCCCTTTCTGGTGATCCCAGCACCAGCCTGCCCCAACCTATCCCCTTATTCAACTCCCAGTCTTAGTGAGAAGGGCCCTCAGGCAGCAGGCTGGTCTCTCCCGCCTCAAATCACTTCCACTCTGATTGATGGCTGTGGTCTCTTTTCCTGTGTCCTGGACAGCTGACTCATGGCGTTATGAATAAGGAGCTGAAGTACTGTAAGAATCCTGAGGACCTGGAGTGCAATGAGAATGTGAAACACAAAACCAAGGAGTACATTAAGAAGTACATGCAGAAGTTTGGGGCTGTTTACAAACCCAAAGAGGACACTGAATTAGAGTGACTTATGGGGCCAGGGTGGGAGGATGGGTGAGCAGGTAGGACAGACTCTGGGGAGAAGAAATCCTGTGGGCTCTTTCTGCCCCACCCCACTGTCAGGACTGTGCTACTGATGACACATCACCCTGGGGAATTCAAACCTGCAGATTTCAACTGAAAGCCACAAAAATGAGTTCTAGCTACAATAAGTGATCCCTGGTCATGAGCTGTTAGGGTGTGGTTAGAGGCCATCAGAGGCAAGGGTTTAGGGGAAGACCCTTCCCTCTAAGACCCCGGCCAGGCCTGACCCCACTCTCAAACCTGGGTCTCCTCCTTGGCGGTGCTGTCAGCGCACAGACCCATGCGCGTCCCCACCCATGACCCCTTACCCTGACGATTTGTATTATATTTTAATGTATATGTGAATATATTGAAAATAATTTGTTTGTTTTTTCCTGGTTTTTGTTTCTTGTTTTGCTTTTAGCCTCTACATGCTAGGATCACAGGAAGACTTTGTAAGGATGGTTTAAGTTCTCCTGCAAGGTTTAATTTGTTATCATGTAAATATTCCAAAGCAGGCTGCCTTGTGGTTTTGGCCAGCCTTGTGCTATGTTGATAAGATTGATTTACTGCTTAAAAATCACTTTACTTTATCCAATTTTTACTGAACTTTTTATGTAAAAAATAAAATCAATTAAAGAACTTGGCATGTGTGTTCCCTAAAAGCCAGTCAAGCATGTTTGTATGTAGTGATGTCACCAGAGGGAGAAAGGAGAAATGGTGGCATAGGTATGTGAAGTCCAAAGTTAATCCTTGAGATTGGAGTTTATCATAGGCCTTGTTTGCCATAGGGTCCCACTGTGACTAAAGCAGGCATATGCCAGTTGACTGACACTTGAGCGCTTGGGATCTTGTGGCTGTGCTCAGGGGTAGAGTCAACTTGCATGTGCATTCCAGAGGAAAGGAAGTGGACCTGAGGCTTCACTGGCGCTGCGCTTCTTTATTTTGGTTAATAGATCAGTCAGGAGAAAGGCATGTATCTTCCCCTGTATACTCCCTGGAGAGGCATTGAATCTCTTCTTTCCAGAGACTTGAGTTCCCTGAGCCCACTAGAATGCTTGTTTGATATATGGGTTCCCCGTCCTCCCACCATGTCCCTTGACACTGGGGCCTAGACACTAGAAGGACTCCTATAAAGGGGTACAGTGCAGGTTGTGATGGGAGCGGCCATCTCCTGGAGAATGCAGGGCTCTGTAGAGACACCCCTCCACCCCCACCACCCACTCCCCCCGCTTTTGTCTGGGCAATGAGGAGGGCCAAAGGCTTTGGGCCAGCCTGCGGCCCCTCTTTGCAAAGAAACTGGTCCCATCTCTTCCTTACCAGGGTTACTTTGGTCACTGCAGCAGTGCCCTTGGGGAAGAGGCTCCGGCCTGCCAAATCTCAAACAGGGCCAGGGCGGATGGCAGTTAGAGCACTCACACCCTGCTGGGTGTTGTGCTGAGCACCTAGAGCTCGGGTTGTGCTCATTTGATCCTCCTAACTCTGAGGCACAGGAATTGGCACTGTTTGGATGAGGAAACTAAGGTTCAGGGAGGCTCAGTAACTTATTTCATATCCTCGTATTAAAGAAATTGTTAAAGGAGGAGAAAAACACATTTTAAAGTCATAATCATTAGACATGGTATTTAATAATGTAGCCAAATATTTTCCCATGATACTGCAGTCTTCAAAACTGTTTAAAGCACACTATTATATCAAATGGATGGACCCTGATTTAACCCTCTTAATATTTTAGAGTTGTTTATTAGAATGTTTCAATTAATGTGCTTGAGTTCATTAATAGGGAATGTTTGTCTTTTGGGTGGGTTTGCCATGCAGGCGTATGGTGATATGCACTGCTGCTTGCAACCAAGTCAAAACTCATGATTTTGACCTGAGGCTCCAGGTTTCAGATTTTCCAAGGAAATTTAGACAGCATTCCATTAAACCATAGTAACCAGGGAACTGTCAAGTTTCAGATAGGACACCTTTGAAGAGGAATTCTCAGTTATTTTACCACTCTGTTGAGTTTTTTCAAAACCTTTTCTCCTTCCATAGACCCCTTGACACCTTCAGGCCCAAATCCCCTCAGTGGTGATAAGGGGTGCCAGCTAATCCAGAACCTTCATACCACTCAAAGCCAGATTTCACATTGATTGCTGATCCAATCCTGGATAGCCCTATGGCGGACTCCCTGCTGAAGCAGGTGTGAGGGCTCCAGTGCACTGATCTGATTTTAGCTGGCTGAATGCTGAGCCTTTCCTGCTTTCTCTCCTGGGTTGTTGCCCAAGGGTCAATTCAGGATGAAAGTGGCTTTAAACCTGCCCTTGCTTATTTTGAGGAAAAGATTTATAGGATTAAGTAGCTCTGGTAAACTATTTCTGAGGAATAGCAATAGCAATAGTCTCATGAGTTCGGTACTTACAGGGCAGCCAATCTAAGTCAGAAGGGGATAGGATCTACCCTGGGTCTCCCTGGACCACGATTGGATCCCATGTCTCCTGAGTTTGTGTGGCTGTGCTTCTTAAGCGCTCTGATCCTCGTGGATGCCAGCATGGTAGTCACTGTTCCTTCCCAGACAAGGCCTCTCTTCTGTAGCAACCCTCTCCAAAGGCACAGTTACCAACCTGCCTGCTCCTCCATTCAGGGTGGGCATATACAGGGGTGCAGGTGGTTTCGCTGCAGCTGCCCTGTCCCCAACTGCCCCTCAGGTGGGTGGGATGATCTATCTACCCTTGGCTTGTGTGGAAATCACATAGTAGCTGTGGAAGCATGTTTGGACCTCGTCTCCTGAGTCTGGAGTGTAGGTCTTAGGAGGAGAGCCCTTTCTTCCTTTTTCTCATCTAAAGACCAGAGACCCTTGGTAACTAGCTTCCCAGGACCAGTCTGCCTCTTGCCTCCTGCCTAGAGGGGCAGGCCTCCAGGCTCCCTTTGATACTGGTCATAGCACAAGTCAGGAAAATGGTCTCAAACCCATGGCTCCTCAGTGCCAACCTGGGAGTCTTAGGGAGTGGGGGGACCCACTGAACGTGCCATTCTGTTTATTGTTCTCCAGTTAAGGAAGCTAAAGTTCAGGAACGTTAAATAGGTTCTTAACATGATACAAGCAGTGAATGGCACGTGAAGGATGTGAACTCCTTTGTGCCTCCAGAGCTCATGCCTCTTCTACGGAAGCACACTGTCTGCCAGCTCAGGTGCTCCTCCCACGTCCTAGGGACCCCATCCTTTTTCTGGGCCTCTGCCTCATAGCCACCAAACTGTGTCACAGGCCCAAGGAGCCAGATAGAGCCAGCACAATAGTCCAACATTGCCTTTAATATGGGATACAAAAGAAAAACCAGTTGAGGCTTAGTAAGGGGAGCTGTAGTGGGGATCAGAAGGGCAGGACCACTCCTCACTGCCAGCTCCCCCCATATCCTGGTCCCTGTACTGGAGGGAGGTAAGGCAAGGGGGGCTGAGTGTTGTCTGGATCTTGTATCCCCCCAGGAACAGAGCAAGCTGAGGCCACCAATGCGAGTAAGCCCATGAAAGGAAAGGCATATGAGATAGAGGTGGTGGGGAACACCAGAGCATGCTCCCTGAGAGGCCAGGCTGTGGAGGCATCACTCATACCACAGAGCAGCCCTCAGCCAGGGGGCCCAGGGCCCGGACCACATCTTCACGGCCCATGGCAGCTAGGGCCACCTCTAGCACCCTGAGGGTGGCACCACTGCCTTCTTGGACAGCCCAGTTCCTCAGCAGGGTGTAGGCTGGTGCCTGGCCCTGGGCCATGGTCTCCACAACCTCAGCCTGGTAGCCCAGGCGGCCTGCCAGCCCTTGCCAGCCCTTGTCAGGTTCGCCTGACAGCTCCAGGAGCCGCTCCACCTCTTCCTGCTGCTGCCGAGGGAGATGAAGGTAAAGCCGGCAGCCAAGCTCAGGATATGGCCCTGGGTTGGGAGACATGAGGGGCAATGAGAGTGAGATGGGTTGGGTGGTGCAGCAGAGCAAGGTGTGAAGGACTGTAGATTGGGGAAAGAGGCTCACCCTGGCTGGGAGCACAGGGCAGACTGCTAGGAGAGTCCAGGAAGACACCGCTATCCCCATGTATCTGGTCCCTGTCGAGAGCCCCCAGCTCTGCAGTCCGAGCTTTGGCCAGCTGCTGTCTTTGTTTATGTGAGCGCCAGCTGTGGGGAGCAGGGGGGACCTGCCAACCTGCTCCAGCCTTTACTGAGACAGACAGGGAGCTGGCTGGGAGTCCAGATGGGAGGGTGGTGCCAAAGAGCAGTGCCCAGACCACCTACCACTTGAAGGCCACGTAGGCAAGCAGACCAAGGACTACGGTGGCCAGGAGAGCACAGTAGACAGGGATGATGCTGCCCGAGGCTCCTGGAGGCTCAGGGGGGAAGGGGGAGGAGGTATTGGGGGCCAGGGCTCCCCCTGCCTCTACCCACACCCCTTCCCTGTCCATGTCCTGCCCCCTCCAGGTCTTATCTGTGGAGGAAACGACAGACAGGGTCAGGGGCAAAGAAACAATGCTAGGGTCCCTGGGCAGGCTCACTTAGATTTTGCTGCCAAAAAGGTTTGAAACAATAGTCCCTACTACATGGAGTCAAAAGCTCACACCATGGCATCAAGAGCTGACTGGCCCGTTTCCTCCCTCCCCATCTCCCCTACCTCCCCTTTGCTTGCCACTCCCAGATGTACCCTTCTCCCAGGCTTCCAGACGGCTGCTCTTGCTGTTCTACTCTCTCCATCTGACAAACCGGCAGGAATCTCCTACTCTGGGAGAGCTTCCTTGATGTCTCGCAGTCTTTCCCTTTTCTGGTTCCTGTTGCACATCCTCTGTCTGTCTTCTAGGGCACTAAATTGTGTGTCCTGTCTCCCCTCCCAAGTCTGGACTGTGAGAGCACACTGATTCATGTTGGTCCCAGTGGGGGCCTCTGTGTACAGCAGACCTCATAAGCTTTTGCAAAATAAAGCTGAACTGGAAGGCCAGTAAATGCTGCCTCATTTTTGCCTTGAGGCCGGTTGTCCCCACAATCCAGGGCAGGCAGGGCACAGGGGACAGGACTCCAGAGCCTGTAACTGGACTTGTGTGTGACCTATCTACCTGGGGAACCTCCCATCCTACCCAGTGCCCAAAATCTGGATCAAGAGGTGCTTACCCACATGGACCATGCCTTCCCTGTGGCTGGAGTTGTGAAGCATGGCTCTGCCAGCTAGCAGTGCTCCCAGGGGCTGCATCTCTTGGAGAAGGGGTTGGAGTATGATGAGCAGCACTGAGGCAAGGTAGTTGGGAGACTTCTCTGAGTCCAGAATGGGCTGTGGGTAGGGACATGGGGAGAAATCCCTAGGCCTGACAATGGAAGTCCCTTGGGATAGTCTGTCCCTCTCTCCTGGCTCACTCCATTCTGATTCACTCCAGGACTGGGTACCCCTCAACACCTCCCCACTCCCCAATCTGGACCAGTTTCCTCGTGTGTCAGATGGGGGTGGTGGTGGTAACAGAGCTGGCCCCATCTAGCCAAAGCTGGAAGAGCCAGGGTGCAGCTAAGGATGGAGGAGGGCAGGCTGGAAACCACCCTCTCAAAGACGTTGTCAAACCTCTGGTCTGAGTCCAGAGATGGCAGGAGAGGACCAGGGAGACTCCCACCCCCACCTCAGCCAGAGCCAGGTCGTAGACTTATTTACTGGTGGGAGGCTTCCCTAGGCTTCACAGCATGAGCCCAGGAACCCAACACCCTAAGCCTCCAAGACAAGGCTCTCTGGAGTGACTATGCTCCCACTCTTGCTGCCTCCAGGGTCAGTGTCCAGCTCTCACCTCCTGCTTAGAGGCTGGACAGGAGGGGACCTTGGTGGGTTCAGCAAGGGCAGAGGGCATATGGGCTCAGAGGCCCCCCTGTTTCTTTAATATCTGGGAATTTGGAGCGGGCATGGAGGACAGAAACCTTGAAGGACAGGACCACTTAGTACCAGGACCATCTGGACCTAGAGAGCTGATCCTGCTGGGACCCACTTCCTGAGGCCTGGGCAAGAGAGGCATTGGTCTGGGTTGAGGAGGGATCTTGCCTGGAAAAGGGATGGAAAAGAGACCTGGCCAAAGGCCCTCCAACGCCCCAATATCCACCACTCCATATCCAGCCTGGTCTAGCCCAGGGACTCCAAACTCACTTCCCTGCACAAGGGCACGCGCCCGTGTGTATGGCAAAGTGCACAGTCAGCAAGTGGGTCTGGGACAGAGGTTGCGGTGACCCTTGCCACGTATGGGGTGTGTACATTTCTGTCACTTACCACATAAGGGGCCCTTCCAAGCTCCTGGTTGGCAGATGAGCCTGTGACCAGCACGCGCAGCCAGCCAGGCCTTGTGTCTGCCCGACCCACCCTGAGCTTCGGGATTGGAGCCTCTACCACCCCCAACACACACCCGTCTCCAAGGCCTACAAAATATGCACACACGATGCAACACCCACACACCCCAACACAGACGTCCGCACCACGACGGCAACACCAGCAGGATCGCAGGTCCCGAGCTGGGGGATAGAGAGGCAGCCCTCGGCTCCCTCCGTCCAGGAAGACCCGGGGCTCTGTCCCCAAACCGCTCCTGACCTGCGGCGGCCGCCCCTCCGCAGGTCCCAGGATCCACTCAGCCTGGCGGACGCAGGCCTCTGAGCGGCAGGGCTGCCCTTGGGCCGGCGGGAAGACGGCGCGGAGTCCCGGAGGAGGCCGAGTTCTGGGCCGCAGGAGACGCAAGCGGCAGCGCGGAGCGAGATGAAGGCGCGGAGGGAGAAGCGGGCGGGACACTCAAGGGGCGGGGCGGGGCGGACGGTCCGGGAGCCCCGCGGGACGTGCGGAGGAGCCTCCGGGCCGCCGCGGGACGGGCCGGAGGGGACGGGCCGGAGGGGGCGGGCCGGGGCGGGGCTGGAGGGGCCCGACCGCCAACGTCTAGCCTCGCCTGGCTCAGGAACGCGCACATGCGCTCATCCGGCCTGGCCCGGAAAGCGGGAGCGACGTGCAGAGGCGATCGGGCTGACCACAGAGAGCGCGAAGAGACCGCGAGCCGGGAGGAACGGCGGGCGGGACCCCAGGGACAGGGGCGGCGCCGCTGGGGACAGAAGGGGGCACGGGTCGCCCGGGAGAGGGGCACGGGCCAGGGGAACGCGCGCCCGGGACGGCGGCCGGGGCAGGCTGAGATGCCGCGCGCACGCAGACTCAGAGGCAGAGCAGCTACAAAACGAGGCCAGGTTTATTGCCGAGAAAGGGAGCGCGGGGGCCGCCTTAGGGATTAAGGCCACATTCCGACCCCTCTGCTCCGCCGAGACAGGGGACTTGGGAGCCTGGACTCCCCACCCCAGGCTGTGCAAAAAGTGCTGAGCGGCCGCTGAGGCCAGTGCTGGGACTCCGGGGCCCCTCTGCCGGCGAGGGGCGGGACCTCCCGGAGTGACACCGCCCACCAATCCCTGAGCTGGGCGGGGGTGGGTCCCCGCCCACCCCCTGAGTTCTGGCCCGGCCGCGGCGTCGCCTCCTCCTCTGGGTTCCCGCCTTCCGTGGGCGGGGTCGGCTGCGGGCGGGCAGGCTGTCAGCGCGCCTCTCCCGGGTTGTACTCAGTCTCCCCAGAGGACACCTGGGAGATGCGCCGCGAGGACCGCCACAGCTTCCGCGCGAACTGGCTGCTGCGCACCTGGTGGGAGTAGGAACGGGGTGAGGTCAGCCAGGACCGTCGCTCCCCGCCCGCTTCGAGGCCCGCCCCGCCCTTATCCTCACCTCAGAGGGCTGCCCCGCGCCCACCACGATAAGCTTGCCGTCCTCCAGGCCCACGAGCACGTGGCTGCGCTCCTTGGTCACAGCCACGCTGCGGATGGGCACCTTCATGGGCAGGGGAGGCGCAGCTGGGAGCAGTCTGGAGGGAGGGGAGATACACAGACTCGCAGCTGCAAGGGAGCTTTGCATCCAGCAGACTGATGTCTCTTCATTCTCCCCTATACCCTCTCTGCCTTCATTTGAAGGATGGCTCACTCAAAACCCTGACACATGAAGGGATCTCCCACAAGTGTGTGGCTAAGGGGAGGCCCAGGGCAAGAGGGATGGGGGGACAGGTGACAGGCCTTGAAGAATGTGCCCACAGACAAGGGGATGCACCTCATAGTATCCTCTGCCAATGACCACCCCCCTGAGAGGACATGAACCCATAAATAGTGGGGCTCACTTATTCAGGTGGAGGATGTGCAGGGCACACTGGGCAGTGCCCAGTAGAACAAAGTCCTCTGTCACTGCCAGGGCTGTGGGCTGCTCTACCAGGGGCAGTGAAGCCCGCAACCTCCCATTCACTGAATACAGGTGCAAGGAGTAAGTGACCTGGAAGAAGAAGACGGTGTCAGCAAGAACAGAATCCCAACCATCCCTCTCTTGGCTGGGCACCCCTTTCCCATACCTGAGCCCCAAGACGCTCCCGTGCCGAGCTCTGTACCACAATCTGGCCCTCAGACCCCAGCACCAGGTAGGACACAGGTCCAGGCAACGAGGCCCCCGGGGGCCGTAGTGCTGCCACAAACTGGCCATGGCGTACAGTGTGGATGATCACAGTTCCATCCTGCAGGAAGGCAGCTTAGGGTGCTGGGCACAGGTCTCTGGGCTCCAGGGGCAGTGCCCAGCAAACTCAGCCTCCCCTGGGCACAGGCATGTACACACCTCGGATCCAGACACAGCCATATCGAGTTCAGTGCTGATGGCCACGCAGCTCACTGCAGCCTCATGCCCGTATAAGACCTGCACGGGCTTTGATGCCAGCCCCACAGAGAGACCACCCTGTGGGGAGCCAGGGCTGGCTCAGGACTGGGAGCATCCCACTACCCTGGCCCCTGAGTGAAAATGCTAAGGCTCAGGAAAGTGAAGGCCTTGTCCAATACCAGAGAGCTGGAGGGTCATGGAGCCCCAGACTTGCTCTTGGAAGCAGAGGGAAGGGGAAGAGAGAAGGGCAGGACTGGAGGCCCACTAAGTGGCCGATGTGCTGCAGGTCTGGACTGTGGGGGCCCCACGGGGCTGTCCACCCAGCACACCTGCTGCAGGAGTCGCCACACCATGCACGTGGTGTCCCGGGAGCCTGAGATGAGGTAGATGCCACAGGTGTCCAGTGCAAGGCAGGTCACTACATCTGTATGGGGAGGGGAGGGTACAAGCAGAACAGAGTAGTCACACCCTCTGTGGCCAGCCTCGGAGCCCTGCCCCCACCTGCACCACCCCCAGCTCAAAGGCTGCTCATACCAAGGTGGCGGCTGAGCTGGTTCAACAGTTTGCCCCGGGGCAGTGCAGTCACTCGCAGGCTGCCATCCCAATGGCCACCACTGAATAGCAGCTTTCCGTCGGGGGCCACTGCCAGGGCTTGCCCACTCACACCACTGCCTGGTACCCACGGGCCACTTAGCAGTCGCTGCATCCTGACCCAGTGAGGGGGATGACAAGTGAGGCCAGGCCACATAGGAGACTCAGGCCCTCAGAGACCTTGGCCAGACTCTGCAGCTGGCCTGCATTCTGATTGGTTGGGGAGACAACTCAGGGTGCAGGGTATTTATAGCCCACCCCTGCCCACAGCCCTCTGTCCTACTTGGGGTTGCCCATGGTGGGGTCTTTGCTGAAGCTGAAGTAGTTGCTTATGTTACGGTCATAGGGCAACCAGGTATGGGTACCCAGCAGCCCACTGGCACTCACAGTCACCTGTGGGCAAGACAGGGCAGAGGTGGGTTTGAGGTAGAGTCAGAGATGGGGTGGAGCTTGGATGGGGCCCTGCCCAGTACACTTACCAACAGATCTGGGGAGCCCTGGGTGATGAAGGAGTGGGGCTGCCGGTGGGGAACCAGGGCCAGCACCAGGGGCACGCCATCACTGATGACCTGCAGGGTAGGGTGCAGGGCTGGCTGTGCCCAAGTGGCCATCAGGGGCCCCCACTACACTACCTCCTCCCTGGGGCACCACTCCTTCCTTTGCCCTCAGCCCCCAGGGGTCACAGTCTAGGTGTCATAGAGGCAGAGCTCACTCTGAGAGACAGGCATAAAAGACCAGTGGGCCTTCAGAAGGGCATCTCAGAAAGTGAGTGAAAAGCCAGGATGGACAATGAAGATCCTTCCAGAATCTGAAGCTTGGTCTCAACCTTGGTCCTCCCGCCCAATCACTCCATGTCCCCCCAGCCTCCTGGCAGGAAGAGAGGAAAGCCTAACAATGTCAGGCCTGGTGGCATTCTGGGATGTAGGCAGGAAGGTGAAGGAGAATATCCAAGGCCAGATTCCCTCCCTTCTGGCCTCCCTAAGGCTTTCAAAGATGGTTAGGTGAGTGGACACCTTGTCTTGGCCCTCGAGAAGAAGGTACCCCACCCCCACTCCCATACGCCTCTGTTTACCTCTTTTTCCAAGATGTCTTAATATCAGTGACTGATTTAGGTTTCCATCTGCCCCTAGAGGACAGTGGAGTTAAACCCATTTCACAGAGTAGGAAGTTGAGGCCTGGCCTCCTCTAACCTCAGCAAAGAAGGCCTTGAGCTGGTCCAGGTGCTGGAAGATGCTAGGTGAGTTAGTGTCTAGACGTGCAAGACGTTGGGCTGCTTCCTCAGCTGAGAGCCGAGCTGGATGTGGCTCCTGTGGGTAAGTGGCCGGTCAGCACTGTGGCGTGGGCATCCCTGACCACTATCCTCCAAAAGCTGGCCTTACCTTCAGCAGCTGACAGGGAGTCTGCCCAAAGTTGCTGATAATGCCCTCCAGAGCCTTCCGTTCCCGCTCATCCGCCACATGATCCAGGTCCACAGCCCCTGGGCAGGCAGGCAGAGCAGTCAGGATTCCCTCTGTGCCCTCTGCATTCACCCTTCCTCATCTGCGCCCCGGCCCCTTGAGTCCGGGGGCACGGCTCACCCTCATAAGTGCAATAATAGAAGACATTGAGGGCCTCCTCCGCAGCCGGCCCCCGCTGCTTATAGCCAAAGATGAGGTCGATCCACTCATGGAGGTGGGAGGAGACATACTCCGACTCCTGCGGGTGGAGAGGGGGCAGTCACTCCAGGGACCGATGAGCTCCACCCCGACCCTCAACCCTGGTTGCCCGCCTGTCTGTATGTGCTCATCTCACCAGAGCCCGGCGGTGCTGCTGGATGAAGTCCTCCGGAGAGCTGGCCCATGGAGGCAGCACCACGTCACCCACCTTCTCGTTGGTCAGCTGGAGGCAGCCCAGGTCAAAGCCTGGCACAGAGCACTGGGTCAGCTGTCTCGTGCCATCTTCACCTGCTCCCTGGCCACCCCCAGCCCGTGCTCTCCACCCCCATGCCAGCTCCTACCGTTCTGGTTCTCCAGGAAGTCGGGGAAGTAGAAGAACTCTGGGATGAGCTCCTTCACGTCAGCCGGGCTCTCGAGGCGGGCCTGCCAGGCTGCCGCCACCGAGTGGAACTGCCGGTCAGAGCAGTCAAAACTAGGGGCGGGGCACAAGCCAAAGTG